CCCTATTATTATACAATAAATATACAAGTAATAATATACAATAAATATACAAGCCACTACACTTTAAACTGCATGGTTATCTGCCGTCACGACATAATGAGAACGCGCCCTTATCGTGCTCGCCCTATAGATGTGTTCAGTCAATTTCGCTAAAAACGTTAGTAGTTACGATAAGAAGGACAGTGTCATACTTGAGATTATGATATCGAAGTACGTTGATTTGACTATGACGTTGAAAATAAAACTATTTTTGTCAGAGTTGGTCTCTTTATAGGTCCAGATATGATGTTTATTATTTATATATATTATTAACAAGAGTCTTATCTATTTATTTTGATTTCAGATATGTTACTAAATTTCGGCAAAATTATCGATTACGTTAGTTATAATAAGAAAGACAGCACACATATTGAAGGCATTTACTCACATGCACTTCAACTGATCAAGCAAGGTACATGTTGTTTTCTTAATAATATCACAAGGTCTGGTCGGATCTAACACGTCAGTTAATAAACATAGTGGCAGTTATTTGGGTCAGTTTTAAAGGTAATATGGGTAATATTGATATTTATGTGGCGTGTTGTTCTATTTAACTGCCACCGTGGTCGAACGGTTACAATGCTGCTGGTCCCGCGTTCGATTCTTGGGCCGGGAGAAATATTTGTATGGCCTACATGTATTTCACTCGTGTGCTTGGGTGTAATTTGTGTGTCCATGGCACCCGCGATGCAGGGTTTCACTAGTACCGGGCTAGGAGTGTGTCCGTTATTTATTATTTATTTATTTATTTATTGTGCCATTGGTAGATCAAAACACCAGTCACTAAATCATCTCAGCATTCGAACTAATAAAAAAAAATTCATGAAACTCAAAATGGTAAATTTCATGGATACTTTCCGGAAGTCAAAAATAAACACACGGGTATATTTAAGGGAACAAAAAAAATGTAAGAAGCTATTCAAATTAACACCTTTTAACATCAACTTTATTTTATAATACCAAGTGATGACGAACAAGTCATGTGTCTGGTGGTAAGCGACACACCTATTCATAACAGTTGCAGTGCCACTCAGAGCTTCAAATTGCAAAAATCTTAGGGTTACTGCCGCTGCGCTGCCCGTCACCCTGAGACATAAGTTAACAGTTGACACCTGTAATTTCCTCAGCTCATATTACTGCTTGGCGGTAGAAATAGGTAAGGTGGCCGGTACTTCCCTGGACGAACTCTTTCACAAGGAGCTCTACTGCTACTAATAAACTATAACTTGGTACAGTTGTACTCAACACAAAAAATGTTAATGAATATTTTGAAATAACTTTCTTAAATAATATTAATACTAATTTACTTCATTTACGTAACAACTTGCTTGTAATTCATCATCATCATCATTCAGCCATACCACGCCCACTGCTGGGCATGGGCCTCCCCCAACGATGTCCACGACGATCGCTCCTGCGCAGCCTCCATCCATCGGCTTCCCGCGATCTTTACCAGATCGTCCGTCCACCTGGTGGGGGGCCTACCCACTGAGGGTCGTCCGGTGTGCGGTCGCCATTGAAGAACCTTTCCGCCCCAACGACCATCGGTTCTCCTAGCTATGTGTCCCGCCTACTGCCACTTCAGAGAGCAATTCTTCGAGCTATTTCGGTTACCTTAGTTCTCCTACGGATTTCCTCATTTCTGATTCTATCACGTAGGGAAATATCGAGCATCGCTCTCTCCAATGCCTGCTGAGGGACTTCGAGCCTTCTTATAAGGCCCATAGTGAGGGACCACGTTTCTGATCCATATATGATCACTGGCGACATACATTGGTCAAAGACTTTCATCTTGAGATACTAAGATAATTTGGACGCAAAGATTTTTGTAGTTTCCCGAACGTTGCCCATCCGAGCTGGATTCAACGAGAGATCTCTTTCTCAATGTTGGGCTTATCTAACTGGACTGTCTGTCCCAGGTAAACGTAATGGTCAACAACTTCGAGTGTAATGCTCCCAATTTTACCTGGAGCGGGTATAACATGGACATTTGACATGGTCTTCGTCTTATCCACGTTCATCTTAAGACCCACTCTTTGGGAAACACTGCTGAGATCTTCGAGCATTGTGTTCAGGTCTCCCAATGTCTCTGCCACAAGAAGTATATCATCGGCAAATCGAAGGTGTGTTAGATACTCGCCTTTGATGTTGATGTCAAGTCC